ATAATCATTAAATAATCAATAATTAATCAGAACGAGATGGAAGAAAGAAAAACGCGACGTATAGAGACACCGTGGTCTCTCACTCGCACTAGCGTCGAGTGTGCGAGACAGCGATGGGACACCGAAATTCGGTCCCATCGCAATTACGTCTGATTATGCTTTCTCTCTCGATCGTGCGTCTTGCGTTAAGGATGCAACATCGAATTGCCCCCATCTTTTTCCCTCGCTCCGCGTCTCCTACACGCTTCGCGAAGCACGGACGTAAACAAAGCGCGATGTGTAGAGACATCGCGGTCTCTCACTCGCACTAGTGTCGAGTGTGCGAGACAGCGATGGGACACCGAAATTCGATATCACGTCCGATCATGCTTTCTCTCTCGATCGCGCGTCTTGCGTTAAGGATGGGAACATCAAATTGCCCCCACTATTTTTTCCCCCCGCTCCGCGATCTCCTTCGCGCTCCGCGGAGACACGGACGTACACGCTTGTATGTGCAGCCGCGCGCTGAGCGCAGGACACCATTCCTGCCGGTGCGTGTACACTTCTTGCACTAGTTCAGGAAGTTTAGAAATAAAAAACAAACTTGCTGTCCTCACCAATTCCAGTGCAGTTCCACTAGTGTAGTCCCAGCACAGAAGAAAAGAACAAACCTCATAGTACTAATCGTATCATCAGGTTGTGTTCCGATATTCACTATCAGTACTGAAAAATCTATAATATACGTAACCTGAAGTATATATTTTCAGTACTGGCAGTGAATATCGGAACGCAGCCCAATCGTATCGAATCAGTTGAAGAGTTAAACCGCGCCGCGGGAGCATCGAGAGCAATCGGGGAGCGTATTAACACTAATGAAAACAAGCGATGCTCAAGTTGAACGAAGGCAACGAAGGTCTGCGTCATCCCTTGATCGGTTGCCGCTTCACGATGAGAAGAACGTGAAATATATTCAGCCTTATCCCTGTTTCGTCAGCTCTTCTCTCAGAAAGTGTCCCGAATCTCACAACGCGGTCCTTCGCAGCGTCCTTGCCTCTTCTTACGTTTCTCGCTCTTGTAATCACACTGGCATTCGAACTAATTCGAGTAATGGCTACGCCGACTGCGTAGACAATGTAGATCGTCTCAACAGCTGTTCGTCGATCGTCGCACGTCAGGGATGTCGGCACAGTTCAATGTTCTCACCATCGTGAGAACAAGCACAAGCAACATAGTTTCACAAACATAGCGTGTCACATTCTTAGGAGATGTCTTGCAGCGATGGTGCGCGTCCAACACGTAAATTCGGCACAAAGTCACCGAAAAAGTTATGCGTGACCAAAAACGAGAGCAGCGATAAGACTACAACGACCATCAGCTGCGCTGGTCACCGGCATAATCATTATCATCACGGTCATCATCGTTTCCCAGACGGATCGCAGCCGTCAGTACACAAACGTAATCTTTACATCGTCTCCTTTCCGCTGATACTACTATTCAATGTGCTGCGAACTCTGCTGTATCAGCTGTTTGTGGTATTCAAATATCTGTATACGTCCACGTCTCAGTTGATCCAGCGCAGACAGGCGTCCAAACAAACTTGTCAATTGGAGATTGTCGTTGGACAAAAGCCAACGGATAGCCATTTGATTAATGGTAGTCGGATAGAAGGAGAAGTTATGTCACAAATGCCTAGGCGGCCTATTGGGCCAGGTCCTGGAGATCCATTGCTAGCTAAACAAAAACACCATCATCGCAGAGCATTCGAGTTTATTAGCAAAGCACTCAAGATTGATGAGGATAACGAAGGTATGTAGCTTATCGATATCAATTAAAGAAATTAAAGATTTAAATTAATTAAGGAAAATATAGATGTATAACAATAGTGACTGTTATGTCAATGACAAGTTATTTTATAATTATACCTGAAATGATATATTTATCTTCTTTTATTGATTTATATCATATTTCATTCATTTAAACAGGACAGAAAGAGATGGCAATAGAATTGTACAAGAAAGGAATTGGAGAATTGGAAAAGGGGATAGCTGTGGAATGCACTGGTGGACATGGTGAAGTATGGGAGCACGCACAAAGACTTCATGACAAGATGTGTACAAATTTAGCAATGGCGAAAGACAGACTCGATTTTCTTGGTTAGTATGATCGTTACATCTGTCCTCCACATTGGCATTTCTTAAGCTATTCCAAGCTTATTTACCTGACACAGACTTATAATTAATTTTTTGCCAATCAAATTGATTATATCTATACAGTTATTTATTTCACAGCCACTTTGAATTTGCAACAATGTCTGCAGGTAAATCTTGGAAATCTTGGAATGGCGAAAGAAAAACTATCAGTGTTTTCAGCATGCTCGTGTGTAATTTGTTTTAATTCCAAGAATACGCGCGTGCGTGCGAGCGTGTGTGCGCGTGGATGTATGTATGTACGCATGCCCGCGTTACAATTTTTTAGATGGTTTATCTTGAGCACAAGTCAATCTTTATTTTGCATTTCTTTGCGGATATTCAAAAGTATAGAATAATGTGCAAATCTATTTCGGTAAAATACTGATTAAGAGCCCAATCTCATGCGGCAGCACTCCGAAAGCAATCGAAACGCGCGTTTGCTCTAAGATGTCTAGCGATATTAGTACATCTTCGCAAAGGTCTGTACAATTTCGGTATGACCGAAAGGTTAGCCTCGTTTCCTTATTAGCTGTCTATAGCCTTACTGCAGCATGGCAGAGAATGTTTTTTCCTTTTTGTAGTGAGTGTGCGTGAGCTGAGAAAGCTGGGTATCAACAATAATCTCAACAATCGCGCATCTGGAAATAAAACGGACGGCGAACATCCGGGAAAGCATCTGAGGGCTCGCCGCAACACACATACTTTTCAAACTATTCGAACTTCACCCAACATTAATCACAATAAGAACACAAACAATATGCACACGGCGGTTAATGCCGGGCAGACTATATGTACCCAGATTCCCAAGTTAAGGCCACGTTCACCAAAAAACTGTTTCGCTCATACTACTGAAGGTATTGTTCGTCTGAGATTTTGGGCTTAAGTGTAAAAGAGAATCGAATGCAAGTGAATAATGTAATGCTATGTAGTTATTATCCATTAAAAAGAGATGCTTGTTTTTATTTGCTTGTGATCCTATGCGTATCATTCGTTTAACATAATTAAAATAATGAGACGTGTGTGTATTTACACACACACACACACACACACACACACACACACACACACACACACACAATCTATATGTTGCATCGTAGTCGCTTCTTTGTCGTTGTCTTTTTTCTTGTAAATTTTTAGAAATTGTCATGTTTTGCTCACTACGTACGCGCGTGATAAAACTTTTTATTTCAGCACCTTACAATTAAATTTGAAAAGTCTAGAATTATTTGTCAAGTATATGCCAAGACAGATCAATGAAATTATGTGATCGGCATCCTCACGATACATTTGAAAATGTTTTATAATTTTTTAATAGAATTGATATTTGTGTCATAGTGCGTGATTCTCTCTCTCTCTCGCTTCTTTTCTCTCCCCTCCCCTTCTCTCTCCTTTTTTTCTTCTGTCTCCCTTCTCCTTTTTTCTCCATCATTCCTTTTTATATTTTTCTTCGACCCTTCGAATCGACAAAAGAGAGATCGCTATATTTTCATAAATAATTCAATTTTTTTTTTATATAAAGACGTTGTCAATATGTACGTATTCTTTGTAAATTTTTTTGCTAATTTATTTATATCCCTATCGATAAATATTGTGATTGATATATTTTATCGCATTGAATTTTATATTGCAATTTATTAAATTACAATTCTGCTTTTGACCGAACACAACACAATATGTGTAACATAATTGTAATTTTATGTGCAAATAGTAGGAGGTATTTTGTCTTAAAATATGTTGCATTAATTCCATGCAAAAAAAATTGATTCTTATATTTATACTAATTATTTCATTAGTAATTATTAGTATTTATTGCCATGATAAAATCATGTTTCTAATAGACTACTGTGTCTCCTGATATGCTCCTACTATTATCAAATAGCAAATGAAACGATAGAAGTAATAATGTTCACAGTATATCTTGACTGTAAATGTATCTTTCTTATTTTTACCATTCTTGCAATAAACCTCTTCTTATTTAATTGATCTCGACTATAGGATTTGCATTTAGTATCAACTATCAGTAGCAATTTTTTCCATCCTTGAGTTATATACTATTAAATTATCATCCATTGTAAGCTTTATTTGTAAGTGCAGGCATTATTTCAGCATCCGGTAGGAAACTGTCGGTTCCTGGGAAACGAACGACAGGAACACCTTTAAGTAAGAGCCAGACGTTGCCTCGGAGCATGGGCAGATCGACCCCTATTCAACCTTGCCACAGGACCATGCCTATCAAACCGTCCTCCACCCCACCCTCTGTGAAAAGACAGCTATCTGTACCAGGCAACGGTTCACCTATAAGACGTCCAGGAACACCGACCACTTCGAGCAGTAACAGAAGTACGCCAACCAGAAAAATACCCATTTTAAAGGGCGTGGATCCCAAACTGGCGCAAGTGATTCTCGACGAGATCTTGGAAGGAGGCGCACCAGTGCAATGGGAAGATATCGCTGGTCAAGAGGTACAATTATTTTGTTGTGACTCAATTGCTATCATTATCACTGCTTGGTATCGATTATGAGGAACATAGTCTTTCCTTATCCCGCTAAATTAACATCATTCTGTGAGATACCGGCTATTTTCAGACTGCGAAGCAGGCTTTACAAGAGATGGTAATCCTACCGTCGTTAAGACCCGAGTTATTTACCGGTTTACGAACACCCGCAAGAGGATTGTTGTTATTCGGGCCACCGGGAAACGGAAAAACATTGCTGGCGCGTGCCGTTGCGACTCAGTGCAACGCAACATTTTTTTTCAATCTCTGCTGCTAGTCTCACGTCCAAGTATGTCGGAGAGGGTGAGAAATTAGTGCGGGCTCTGTTTGCAATCGCGCGAGAGTTGCAGCCCTCTGTTATTTTTATCGACGAGGTAGATTCATTGTTGAGCGAACGAAAAGATAACGAACACGAAGCTTCGAGGTATATTTTCTGCTTATACTTGCAAATAATATATCTTGATATGAGAAATACATGTATCGGAACATGATGTTAATATGTATTTCAGGAGATTAAAAACGGAATTTCTAGTCGAATTTGATGGTTTGCCATGCAATCCGGAAGAGAGAGTGCTCGTTATGGCTGCAACAAATAGACCGCAGGAATTAGATGAGGCTGCATTAAGGCGATTTACTAAACGCGTGTATGTCACATTGCCTGATCTGCAGACAAGAATTATGCTGCTCCAAAGACTCTTAGCCAAACACAACGATCCATTGACGCCCGAAGAATTGAATGAGATGGCAGTTCTGACGGAAGGATATTCAGGAAGCGATTTGACTGGATTAGCTAAAGATGCGGCACTTGGGCCTATCAGAGGTAACATTGAATCATTTGTAAGATTCTTCTTAATTCTTAATTCTTATATTCATTTCTAATTATATATTATGAGTGATGATATGTATTTGGACACTCATTTTATAACATTTATATTACACATACATCTCAACATATTTAATGTATGTGCTATCCAGTAATAAATTTATCGCATAAATGAGACGAGAATCAAATTTAACAAGAATGTGAAGAAAGTTTTATCAAATTTTTATATTGTATTAAATCAAAGTGTTTGAAAAAGAAAGGGGATCTAAATTTTGTCTGTATAATTTAAAACATATCATATCCTTCTCAGAACTGAATCCAGATCAGGTGAAAGAATTGGATCTCAATTCCGTTCGTAACATCACAATGCGAGATTTCCGTGATTCCCTAAAGAGAATTCGCAGATCCGTTTCACCGGCAAGTTTAGCTGCCTATGAAAAATGGAACTTCGACTACGGAGATGTGAGTCTTTGATTTGGGATGAGCCGCTCGGATAAGAGGTTTCAGGAACAATCACATTTCGATTAAATTTAATCTGCAAAACGAGCCTGAAAGCGTTCCAGACAAACATTCGTAGCTAAATATAAAGAATCATACAATACCGAATGTTTACATGATAGTATAATTCTTGTATTTTTATTCCATCTTACGAACAATATTGATGTTTACGGAAAAGACGGCAATATGGAACAGTTAAACAATAGACAATGAGAAATCGATATATTGATATTGATATCATTATTGTCACATTTCACGTTAAACTTTGTTATCTGATTCTCATTGTACTTTGACATTAAAGCAATCTTGTAATCTCGTGATGAATGAAACTTGGGAATGACTTAATGTCAAATGTATCTTACGAATACGTTTCTTACGAATACGTTGATTTTATGAAACATAATATTCCATGTGCTCCATATGCTATATGAGTAATCGAATATTTAGATACAATTTACAGTTCAACTCAGCTTTAACGTTATCAGTTCGATATTAAAGAAAAATGCGTCTTTATGTTATTTATATTTAGTTCTATATTTGTTATTCTTACGATTCATAATTCTCTTAATAGCTGGTATTTGAAATCTATATTACTGTGTTACGATAATTTACATTTATAATATCAATTGAAAAGATTACCACAAAATATTACCACAGTTAATGTGTTAGACACTATAAAGATGTGCATTTAAAAAAGTATGATTAAACGCAGAGTTCACAATTGGAAGGAATATTTTCATATAAGTTGTAAATATTCAGTTATTGTCATTTAAAAATTATCACAAACGAGTTAATATAGTACAATACATAACATGACCCGACTCGTGTTTGCAACAATAGGAAGACTACATTTGCGAACAGAACAATGCACGTCCAATAAGATAATAAGAAATAAGATATATCAATGACATGTACAAGAGAAGAAGACATAGTTATGTAATTGTTATATATTTGTCATGCAAAATAGTGGAATGCACGTATGTAAACAGATATTTCTGCAACAAAAGTAAAATCAAGTGAAAATAATAATTATCTGTACGTGTCGATTTTATAAAAATTGCACTAATAGATATATCTTCAAGTGCGAATATCGATCTTGTTACGTTTGACCATTTCGAAACCAATTCGTTATTTACTTATTGATACATTAATGCGTTATAAGAAATTATATCGATCATTATGATGCATGCAATCACATGCAAAGAAAAAGAAAAATGATAGAAACAGAAATTCTGTTACAAAATAACAAAATTTTATAAGACAACGAACTGAGAATCTAATCTGTGCTATATAAAATCCTAAGTATTTATCTAGTATAAGAATTATGCATAAGCTCGACGGACATTGTTACATGAAAAAAGATTAAATCTGCATACACATGCACAAATGTATGAATACATTTTTATGGCATTTACCTTATTGCTTCCGATGCTCAAAAGTAGAATTATACATATATAATAAATTAATGTATTCAACACAGAACTATATTATAATAAGCTGCAACTACAATATAATGCAAATTTATTGATCATTCGAAATTAATTACGTTCATCACAAAGTTAAGATAACGTCTCTGTAATTTAGTAGCGTAACAAGTTTCATTATGCAAAATTATTGCATAGTGTATTAATTAATGAGTTTTATATATACACTGAAGAAATAGAAAATGTTATTTGCAGGTGAAATTGATAGCTATTAAATGATAGATCTGTCCGTCTATAATTAGAGTACCATACATTTGTTAAACAGATATTCAATAATAGATAAAATGTAAAAGATAAATGCAACTCCGACATGCTTGTGCTTCGCGACATGACGTGGAAATTTACCATTTTGAGATTCGCATTACCTATAATTTATAATAATAATAAGAAAATGTGTGATGTTAAGCAGCATTCGAAAGCTGTGATGTTACTACGACGATAAACTTGATATTTTTGCGGCACTTTGATATATATTTAAGTGCATACGAATGCAATATACAAATATTCTCATAAATCACAATTCTGGGTCTTTCTAGATATTGTAACTTTATAATTTTTCAAATAGAGGCATATATGTGCATACACACACACACACACACACACACATATTATATTATATATATATATATATATATATATATATATATATATATATATAT